TAAAATTAATATTTTTTTATCATAATTTTAATAACCTTCACAACTAAATTGATGACCTTGACCACGTCCGTCAAACAAATCACAGTTCTTCCACTGGGATATTGACTATTGAGTCAAGCTCAAGCTCAAACTTGACTTGAAGACTTGAGTTCAAACACTGAAGTCCGAACTCCACTTGAGTAACTATAGGAGTGTGCATTGAAATTATACTTCTGAATTTTAAAGATTGAAACTTAGAACTCCACCACAAATAATAACAATAGAAAGAAAAAGGACAGAACAACATTAGGGGTAAATAGTGGACAAAATCTGGATCTAACAGAAACAATCCTGTTTGAATCCATTATTATTTTTCATTGATGCCCGAAAGCAAGGTTTACAAGCTCTTAAATCATTAACTAAATTTTGTTGTGCGGTGGACGTCAGTTTGTGTCTCAAGATGAGGTCTCAATGCCTGGTTCCTGAATTTGTATTGACGTTCTTGACAGACTAGCTTCTAGCTCATTTAGTTCATCCATGTCAAGCTCATCGTCATCGTCTTCATCAAACTGGATGTCCTCAGAATCATCAGCTGCAGATGGTGCACTACTGGGCCCAACTGCTTCAGAATGATCCTCAACCTGAAATCAAACATGGTTCAAATAAGACATGGAAGTAAAGATTAAAAAAAAAAAAAAAAAAAAAAACCCACTTATAGTACATCTTCCATGAAATGAGTACTCATTGCAGTTAAAGACGGTAAACCCAAAGAATAAGTGAAGACCTGAGCCTAACCCCATAAAGTAAATCATGTATAGGCAAAGTCAAAGACAGTGAAGCAAAAGAATGAATGAAAACCTACCACTAAACCATGAAAAAAACAAAAGTTCTATTGATTTTCAAGATCTCAATAAGGTGGCAAATTACCTTCTGCTCACTATTCTCGGGTTCTTCTTCCCTCTGGTATTTTTCATATGCCTCATCATCATCCACAAACAAGCTTGCATTGGCAAGAAACAGCTCACGACCACTGAAACAAAGTCAAAATCAGCAAGGAATTCCAAGGAAAAAATATATATTTTTGAGAACATAATGTAGAGAGACAATACCTCATACGGTCATTCTTGGCTCTCTCTGCTTGTTTTGCAGCTAAACTAGCATCTCTTTCTTCAATCTTTTTCTTCTTCCATTGCATAAACAGCTCAGGAGTCATTGGGGTAGATGCTGTTAGTTTTGAACGCTGAAGTAAACAACAAACAGATAACAATTAGAAAAACTATGAACTTAAACAAGAGGAAAGAAAAGAAGAAATTTTTAGCAAAATTGAACTGAAAGGATTCCTTGTCAGTTAGAAAAGAATGAAAAGAAAGTTGAAACTTTGCAGTAGTAAAAATAACTTTTACCTGATTTTCAATCTCCTCTTCAATAGAAATCTTATCAGCCTCTTCCTCCAAAAGTGCCTTCATTTGAGATTTTAGAACGTATCCTGGAGGAAGAGCATGCCTGTAGTGACAATCTTTACCGCCATTTGGGCAAACCCAGAACCAACCATACTGTTTCTTTTCCACTGCTTCAAGAAAATATTTGCAAACCTGTGCAAAAGTATTATAAAAAATCAACAGTGACAGATGGTTTATCCAGCATAAATTTCTCAAGAAAGATAAATAACTTGTTTCAAATGTCAGGTATATAATAATAATAATAATAATAAAAACCAAGGAAAAGGTTATCTACAATATCAGTAGGCCGGTTCTGGTTATACTCCATTTGCTTTGATTCCACAGCCTTCTCAAGGGTTTCTTGATCCCAGTCTTCCATTGTTTCTAAAATAATGAAAAACCCAATAAAAATAAAAAATCTGATCCATCTCAAATTTTCAAAAGAAAAAACCTATGGTGTAATGTGTAAACTACTTTGTTTCTACAACAAGAAACTTGCATAACAAAGATCAAGATTCAAGAAAAAGATATGATCTTTGAGATTGAAATGAAGCGTAGGAAGAATAGAAAGAGAAGAATATTTCAGAGAAATCAGTTTACTATTTATCTACTCTTATGCTAGTAACACTGAAACTACTTTCACAGCTGATAAATGGGCCAGTGAGATTAACTGAGCAGCAACTACTTGCAGTTCTAACTTAACTGAATAGTTAACATAAAATAACTAACAATCTCAATACAATCAGCCCTACCAGCTTGCTTGTAGTAGTTATTCTGAGCTTAACAAAAGACTAAGGAAGGATTCAAAATAATGCATCACTAAATTATAAGTCTATCAATTACCTTGATCACGCTGATCACTGTAAATATCAATCTTCTCACCCTTCCTCTGGACATTCAAATCATGGGAGAACTTGCATTTAAAGCCCTTAGTACACTGTCCCACCTTGAAAAATTCACAAACTATGGACTTGGGATCAACACCTGTCCATAACCAATTTCCATTACCAAGAGAACAACAATCCAATTCACACTAAATGCAAATGGGAATTTCATCAGATAGTTCAGCTCTAAACGAAAATGCTGTTAGACAATATTGCTCATTTAAACATACCGACGGGTACTTTTGGCTGAGTCACAGCAATCTTAAACAAATCATTCAGCTCCTTCTCCCTTGCCTTATCTTCCTCCTTCTTCTTCTGTTAAATTTCATAGCCATTAACCCCAAATCGCTTTCAACTAAAATCATTAAAACCCATAAAGCAACATCTTAAAAGAAACAAACTTTAAACTAGAGAGAGCAAAAGGAGACTAAAGAAACGACCTTGGAGGCGACTTTTGAGGGGTCGGGTTTGGGCTGGACAGCCTGCTGGAGATTTTGGACATACTTCTGCACATTCTTGCTCTTGTTCTTGTTCTTGAGTCCGAAAGTTTTGTCTTCGACGATTTTCTGTTTCTTTGCTAGATCAGCTTTCGATTTCTGTTGCTGCTTCGGAGGCATACTTCGAATTTTCAGAAAAAAACACGATTCAAAGAGATCAATACAGGAGTATTAGATTTCCCCCTGAGAGATGGATTTAGGGTTCCCAGAGCTTGAAACGAGGCGGGGCCAGAACTTTCCACGGGTTTTATCGGAGAAAGAAAGCACAACATATTATTTTATTTTTTATTTTTAATTCACAAAAAAGATTTTTTTTTAAAATTTGATTAAATGTTATTTTTAATCCTAAACTTTTAATCTTAAATCGTTTTTAGTTCTTAAACTTTTTTTTTTTTAGTTTTTTAATCCTAAGCTATGAAAAAAGCTTTTCTTTTTCTTTTTTTTTTCCCCTTAGTTTTAGTTACTTTCGTTATATGCACATGTAGCCAAGACTATATGTTGAAATTTTGAACTAATCTTAAATTTATTGATAAATCTTTAGATTTAATTGATATATATAAATTCTAAAAACCTATAATTTGAGTAATTTAATACTTAATTTTTTAATTACTATAAGAATAAGGACTAAATTGCTTAAATCATGAAATTTAAAAGCTTATATATATCAATTAAAGTTTGGAGACTCAACAATAAATTTAAGGTTAATATATGGTTTTGCGGTATGTATATGCACATTTATATTCTTTTATTTAAGAATTAAAAATATATATTATAAATTTAAGTACTAAAATAATATATAAACAAATATAATAAATTTTTTTAATCTAACGAGATACCTTTTTTTTTTCTCTAAATTTTTCTTAGTTGAATCAAAATTTGAATTTAAAATTTGTAATTTCAAATTGCAAAATTTTAATTATTGAACTACTTTTTTTATGAAAGGAGTATAATAAATTAACTAATAAAAAATTTTAAAATAAATCATAATTTATAATAAAAAAATGTAAAAAATAATTCCTAGACAAAAAAAATTCAAAATTAAATGTTTAAAGAGTGAAAATGACATTTAACTTCTTTTAATTCACATAACATAAATTATATGAAACGACCCCGTATAAGGATTTAACATCTGTTGCTTGGGTAGTTTTGTACCAGATGTGAGTGAAACCGGTGAATGGTGACCACGAGAACTCAAAGGTGCAAAACTCAAAAGCTTAGGACGAACGGCACCGCTGAGTCGGAGACGGAGGAAAATGAGATTTCATGCAACTTTTTCTTGGGTTTCTCAGATTAAAAACAGAGTGCCGTCTTTGTTCCGATCGAATCAAGCGTCGCGGAGCTCCTTTTCTGAGCTTCAATCCAACGACCAAAAACGGTTCGTGTATTCATTGCTTCTAGTTTTGTAGTTTCCGAATTGTTGGTCTTCTCAATATCAAAATGGTGTTTGGTTTGTGAGAAAATGCTGGAAAAGCAGAGTCTTGAAGATAATACATATCTGATTTAAGCTTTTACTAAGTAAACTGAAGATTGCTTGGGGTGGTTTCAGGTGCTCTTTCGGAATAGCATTTGACATTGATGGGGTTATTCTTCGCGGCAGTGTTCCAATTGGGGGTTCTCCTCAAGCTTTGAGAAGATTGTACGGAAAATCTGGTCATAATTTTCTGTTTCCCAAGGTTTTTTTTTTTTTTTCTTAATAAATCAATTTTGCATTAGACAAATAAAATAATTGCTATTTCTTTGCTTAGGTGATTTGAAGATTCCATACTTGTTCTTAACAAATGGTGAGTCATTTATTTGGCATAGAAAATATGCTAAATTTTTTAGCTTTTGAATTTGATACTTGATGGTAGTGATATGGGAGTGTTATATCATCAGTAAGTGAACTGATTTTAGTATTGAATTCAAATTCAAACAGGTGGTGGCATCCCAGAAACAAGACGAGCAAAGGAGTTGAGTGAACTTCTGGGTGTGGACATTCTACCCAGGCAGGTAGTTTCGAAATTTTACCCCAATTTTTGGACATCATGTGCATGAATTTGGAGTTCTTTCATATTTATGTTTCTGCCTTTTGCTAATGGAAAATGTGGTATTGCTGTCTTCTTTCTTTGAAATAGATTGTACAAGGTCACTCCCCTTTCCGAAACTTATTGGAAAGGTATGTCAATGGTGATTTTGAGCAGATGTTCTTCTTTTACTTGAATATCTATGAGTTTAAAGTATCTTTTATTTCTTACTGATAAAAAAGTAGTATCAACTACATTTTAAACATATTTTTATTTTATTCAGTTATTGTCACTGTTCACCTTTCTCTTATTCATATTTCAATTTTAAGGATGAATACTTTCCTCTTGGTAATAGCCTCATCTTTCAAGGTGACTGTGATTACTGTCCTCGATAATTTTTTTATGGAAGCAAGTAGATATATCTGGGCTTACTTTTGGGATGGCTAAGTTTCTATGATCTGCAAGATTTGATTAGCAGAAGATTTTATGGTTGTAAAAAAACATATAATTTGTTCCTCCTTATTTGGTTATTGAGGATATTGGCTAAGTCTAACATGTCCTTGTTACTATTTTGCTACTGCAGTGTGCAGTGTGACGAGAATCTTGTCATATTAAATTTTTCTTGTGCTACACTAACTACTTCTGCATCTTTCCTGGTTCAGATTTGAGAATGAACTCATTGTTGCAACTGGAAAAGGGGATCCTGCTCTGGTAATGTCTGAGTATGGTTTCAAGTAAGGGCTCACCATCATGTCTCACTCAAAAAAACTCCTGATTTTCTATGTAATAGTCATTTAGATTTTTCGAAATTATATGCTGCTAAACTCATTTTTTGGTGATAGAAAAGTTCTGTCCATGGATGAGTATGCATCTTATTTTAAGGGGATTGATCCTGTTTCTCAATATAAGATGTGGACAACCAAGCCTCTCCCAGATAAGAAGAGTCCATTGATACCAAGCTACAATGTTTCCTCTGAAAAAATTAAGGCAGTATTTGTTGTTAGTGATCCTGTTGACTGGGGAAGGGACATTCAGGTATTTTCTCAATCTATCTTTCTGTATGCAGTATGAAACTATTAACTCTGGTTCATTTTCACCATTGCAAGTTTTGTAGTTTGTGAAATTACATCCTTATTTTACTTCCTCTCATACATGGGAACCATGAAAAGACATGCTGTTTTATCTTATGGTCTTAAATCTTAATTTGTTTATTGCTTGGTTTACTACACACAATCAAGAATTTGTGAAACATATCCATAACTTTTTTCTGCTATAAAATCTCAAATTTTCAAGGCTGTTCAACAACAGAAATCTAATGTTTCAACTTTCAATTTCAACAGTCATATTGATAATTTTGATTTGTAGAAGCCTTTTCTTTTCTTCTTCTTCTTCTTCTTCTTCTTCTTCCCTTTTCTTTTTTCGGCCTCGAAGCCTTTTCTGGTTCACAAGCTAATTTAATTTACATTATCAAATTAAAGATTACCTGTTTGTTTGTACCTGGTTTAAAATCTCAAAGCTGATTAAGGGACCCTGGTAGGTTCTTTGTGACATTTTGAAATCTGGAGGCCTTCCAGGAAAAGCAAATGGAGACCAACCACCTTTGTATTTTGCAGCTGATGATCTTGAATATCAGGTTTTCTTGTTTTGCTTATGTAATCATGTACATTTTTATGGATTTCCCTAATGTGGTTATTACTTACACTCAGTTTTGTTGGTGCTCGTGTGCAATCCTTTGTGAACTTTGGCTAAAGCAGATTCTGTTGAGTTCTGGAGAGACATTGGACTTGATTCTTTCTTTTTCTTTTTCTTTTTTGTCTCTCATAAATCTTGCATACAACAATCTCATGTTACAGGCTGCCTTTCCCTCCCAGCGTCTTGGAATGGGTGCTTTTAGAATTGCACTGGAGAGTGTCTTCAACAGGTTAGATGCTTGCATCATCCAGAACAGTTCAAAGTCTGAAGGTTTTAATAAATAGTTCACATCAATCCAAGTAGTCAGTCAATGAACCATCAAGAATAAACCACAAGCTATTTCCAAGTTGGGTCCTATC